AAATTCTCATTTTAATCGAATAAAAAATTTCATTTCTAATATTTTCTAACCAAGTCTTTTTAGGTATACCTCTACCTTTCTTAACAAAAGTCAAATATAAAACATTTACTCTCCTAACCGGGTCATCGAAAGGTTGGCATTTTATGTGACAAACCATCTAGGAAACTCTCTAATCTTATCTGTCACTGGAGCTACTCTAACCTTTTCATTTTATCAATATTGCAATCATGTGTTAAAGATAAAATTGTGGAACAATATTTTGCTCAATTTCTTTTCCAATTTGTACCAACTTGCCAAACTTAGTAATGGGCTTTTTTAATTATTTGCAATTTCAATATGTGAGACAATATATTAAATTTCAATCATTTAGCAATTTAAACCTTCTAGTGATGTATGCAATTGAGAAAACTAATTTTCAATCACTCCAAATGACCATAATATTTGATTCAATATAATTTTATGAAACACATGACTTCAATGCATGACCTCCAAACTCACCATGACACGTCAATGAGGAATTATGACCATCACTTACATTTCTCATGTTATTTTACAGATTAATCCGGGATGGCTTGAATGTTTTCTTGGCATCATAAAACTCATCTAATAATTCAACTTATCCCTACTAACATCAATAAAATTATCATAAACCACCACATCATTGATTTGAAAGTTAGTATTATAAAGAAAAACATATAGGCTTAAAATCTATAATTATTATTAATTTAATCAAATATAATATGTTCTCCTCATTCTACTTCAAATCACAAATGGCAATGCTAAATCTTTCATATTCCAAAATAAAAACATATTCACTCCCATCATAGAAAATATCGCTGTATTAACCTTTAACATAATATGCTTAGTATGCTCCAAAAAATCAAGTCTTCTAGACCCCCATATGAAAAATTTAGATACAAACTTGGTTTGTTAGATTTTATAAACAAACAATTTTAGTGTGGCTTGTTGTTGGGTGGCTGGAAGAGAGGGACACATGGCCGAAATCCACATTAGGAATAGCAGCAGCCTAGGCGGCTTGCAAGACCAAGAGGAAGTATGAGTGGGACACCAAACATGGCATGAAGCATGCCAAATTCTTGGTTGTGGTACCCTCTCCTGGATCACAAGCATGGCCCTCCATCATCCCAAGATTGCTCCTCTATGGCCTACAATTTTGTCCTTTTTTAGTAGGAAACATGTGTTTTTTATTTAATGTAATTTTTTTATTTATTTTATTCCTATTCTTTACCCAATATAAAACCCTATAAATAGTCATATTGTAGACAAATAAACATGTTTGAGTATTCCAAAATTCCTCTTCTCAACCTCTTTTCTATTCTCCTCTTTCAACAAAGATAAAATACAAAAGACTATTCACTAAACAATATTTGAAGAGGTAAGAAGTATAATAATAATAGATGTGTGTTTGTTTGTTTGTCTGAGATGGAGGGGGTGGGAGCATGGCACAGCCAATACCCTATTCTAGATCACCAACATGGCACTCCATTATCCCTGGATTTCTCATCTATGGCCTGCGAGTATTTAGTACATTTCAACTTTCTACCCATTATAAAACACTATAAATAGAGTCATATTCTAGCCAAATAAAAAAATTTGAGTATTCTAAAATTTCTCTCCTCCACCACTTTTCAAATTTCTCTCTTGACAAAGATTAAAAAAAAAATATCCACAAACAGTAATTCAAGAGATAAGTATCATACGAAAAAGAGCAAATCCACCCATTTTCTTGATCAAATTTTATCATGGAATCTTCTAAGTCATGTTGTTAAATTGAAATTGCATGAAAAAATGCACTACTTATGGCCATTTAAATATCCTTTTTTTAATTCCCATAATCCAACAATCCCATTGGCATTATAAAATTATTATTGCTATTTTTTTTTTTCATAAAGGACAAGCTTCTTTGGATTTGGTTTTCAATTTTTCATCCATATGTGAAGCCCAATATTTATTTTTAACCATATTGGAGATCAATTTAGACAGTGATTCCCTACTCTGACAAGCTTCAACTCATATATTCCTCAAATCAAGTAGCATAAACTTCATTTGATGTGAATTTGATAATATTTAGTCAAAATTAGAATCTTCATAATATTCAATAAATTCATTGACTCCAACATGTCAAGTGATTAAACAAACATAGTTAGCACAAAAACTTCATTCATGTAAATATGATCGATGGGATATGATAGATGGGGCAGAAAGTCCTCTATTAGCTAAGGAGGATTCAAATTTGTTCCCTTAAACAAATATTCACTCTAGGTCTACAAGGTACCCTTGGACGAAGCAACCCATGGCTACCAATAAGGATCCTTCTGTCAGGTTGGGTCGACTACCTTCTCTGACTAAGTAGACCAAGGACCATGATGACCCCGGATGACAAAACCATGGATCTTGATCGAGTCCATCATCATTCCCCACCCCACCATCCGCTTTAAGTGCAAGGAGATGAATTTCTAATTTTAAATATTAAATTTTCAAATACCTAAATTTTGTTGCTACTATATGCCGGATACTACGTATTTGTTTGACAACTAGCCTTAATCAAAAGTTCTCTCTCATTATCGAGAGGGGTAATTAACTATAGGGGCTTGCGCCTATAGGAAACCTGAACTCGAATCATAAATCCTCGCAAAATGAGGGAAAAATCTCTCGGTAGTGTCTTACTTCAAAACTCAATCTGCCTCCTGATTTGTCTCGAAACCTAAACATTAAAACTATCCTCGACGACCCAAAGAAAAAAAAAAGAACAAGGCAGCAGCGAGGCCATGCTCGAATTTTCAAAGTCCGCAATTTTTTTGGTTCCATGAGATTTATTTTTTAATTTAATGTGTAAATCTTCTTCCTTCGATGCTTTTGGGTTCTCCTTATACACACCATGAAAACAATAGAAATACAAGATAACACATTTCTATGAAATCGGCACCATGCAAAAGAGTTAAAGAAAATAAGTTAACTATAGTAAGCAAAATAAACTCTCAAGAACAGATTTTATATCAAAGTGTAGCATAAACTAACAAATGTTGAATTTAATTGTTCGATAAATCAATCAATTTTGATTTCATAGAACCAAGACTATATGTATATGAGTGAAAACTTGGTTACCACTTTCAGCATTATGAATAAAATGAATGTCTTAGAGAAAGATGAATGAAAATGCAAAAAATTTAAAATAAATGGATGATCTTTAGCATTACATTGTTGCATAGTCAAAGACAAAGGGGAAAAAATCAAAATGCATCGACAGAGAATTTTTGCAAATGAAGCATCTTCTTCTTCTTCTCCTCATTTTCATGTAATGAACAAATAAATAAAACTGCTAAGAAGAAGGCAGGTGACTTGCTGCTATTGGTTGTTCAAGGATAGTTATTGGCGCAACGCTTGCAGAAAAAATTATCATCATTTAAAGGGGCGCATTTTTTATTCGAAAACCATCAAACATCCTTTTTACAGCATGCATGAAAAACTGCAACTTAATCAACTATGAAATAAGATGACAAATACGAGCTACTAAAACACTGTATGCATCATGCAACCAAGCGGATAAATTATAGTGCATTGTCAACTAGCCTAGAAGTTTGTCAATATGGTTCTACATTTTGAATAAACTACAAACATAACAGCATATGCAAAAGAAGCGTGGATAAAGCATCACAGCCTACCTACAAAACCAAGGAGGACGTGAAGATAGTCCAACAGTTATATCAACATCTGCATTTTTCTTTGGCTTCTCGGGCTTACTATTTGAGTTCTGAGAGGGCTTCCCATGATCCTTTGGACCATATTTCTCCTGAAAACATCAGCATGAGCCATATATCAGCACTCAAAATAGTACACTGCAAGCACCAAAGGAACAGCTTGTAGTGACAGCCAACGTATGATCCAACAAGCCCTTCTTCCCCTTACACCTTCAATTCTAGAATCAGAAATTTTCTCAAAACAAAAACAGGGGTTGTTTGGTATCATACTTTAAACTTAAACCCTGCCAAACAGAATTCCGGGGCCTTTAAATCCCGTTTCAGCCCTGTTATTTTCAGGATTCAGGATTTGTAAAATCCCACCATTCATAAGATTAAAGCTACAAGTAGGATTGAGTAAATCTAGAGATGGTTAAACCCTTAAAATTGTTTGGAATGCCAACTGCTAAATCTTGCTAGATAATGATAAACGGTTTGCTATTTATTTCAGAATTTAAGGATTTGTGAGAGGGTGAATTCCTTAATTCAGTTAAATTTCGCTCATTAACATACACAACTATAAGCAAAAATAGAAGAAAAAGCAGACAGCATAGATGTAATGGAACACTTATTGATTAGAGATGAGGTTAGAGCCAAAAATGAAGAGAAAATAACCGCTTCAGTCATGCATTGGGTGTGGCTCTGAACGCTTTCCTTGCTAAAAATGTCCCCACAATCGATGCAAGATAGCTGCAGATAATGAAACAGGATCGAAATCAGAGCGCCTGTACGAGAAGACCGTAGTCTCAAGTCGGATCAAGAATTTATACAAAACTGAACCTTGTGGGCCGAGCATATTCGGAAATGGTTAGGAAGCTTCGGCTTCTTGAGGTTCTCGCCGCAAACTTCGCACTGAAACCACACCATCTCTAGCGGATCTCGCTGGCTCGCTCGAAAGTTATTCGCCGAGGAGCGCCCCCAAAATCTTTTGTTAGGGTATTGTCCGCCGATGAAGCTGCTCCTTGAAGTTTTTTATATACAAATTTTTCTCTCCATAGTCCAATATGCTTGGATTCCAATGAATTCATGACACATGGATTAAATATATGAATATTTATTTACATTTTTATTTATCTTGTCTGTCCTCACCCGGCCAACCCCCGATAATTTAAATAGTTTCTCCAAATCTTGAATTTAGAGTTGACGGTTCTTTTTAAGAAAAAACATGCAAAAGTTCCACAATATTCAAGATTCTGGCTCAAATAATATTTGACCTGTTAAGAAAGAAAAAGAAAAAAGAGAAAAAATCGATGAAGATTGATTTGGAGGAGGACGTTGCATTCTTCGAGCAGATCATATGCCACCTTTCGACATACAAACGTCCAAGAAGAGGAAGACTTTAAGTTGAAAAAGCAGCAGCCTGAAAGAATGATAGGTTAAGGGTATGATTACATTGGTTGGAGGTGTTGAAGGATTAAACTTATCGGTAAAGTTCAAACTCGTCCCATGAACAAGCTTGTAGGCAATCAACACACAGTGAAGATAAAGTGTATACAAGCTTATAGCCACAATGTACAAAATATTTAATTGACTATCTTTTACTTTGTACAAGTTTTTGATGAACAGTTTCAAATTTTTATAAGTTGATTTTGTTCTGCTTGCCAATCTTTTTCAAACTGCGTATTCACTAGCTATTCACAATGTGTTTACTTTATATCAACTGCATATTCATTGCATTTTCACTTCGAATCAAATGTATATTCAATGTGGGTTGACTGAGTATTTGTTGAGTATTTACTGCGTATGTGATCAATATTTGTTGAGTATTTATAGTATATTTTCTGCGTATTCATGAATTTACTTTTTTTACATGTTGTGTACTTACTTTATATGAGGGTGTGTATAAGAATGGGAAAGAGGCATATAAGGTTTACTACAATTATGCCCATAATATTGATTTTAGTGTTCGAAAAGATCATCACAGTTACTGGCTAAAATCCAAAAATATAAAGTGCAAGGACTTTGTCTGTTTAAAATCAGGCCTCAAGAAGGGTATTGATTTCAATTCCTAAATGAAATATAAAAAACTAGAGACTATCATAGGTTTTCTAGATATGATTAAGTTTATAGTGGATGAAGTTAGAAATTGGAATATAAAAAATCATATTGAAAGCCACAACCATGATTTAACTAGGCCAGAAGATCGACATCTACTGAGATCATATAAGAATATTTGTGATGATAAAGCTTTAACTTTTAAATCAATGACAAAAGTCAGGATAAGAACTATTGATGCATTTTCCTACCTTATAGATGAAGTTGGAGTTATAGAAAATGTTGTATTCTCTAAGAATGATGTATATAACTTTATTCAAAAAGAGAAAAGATTTAATTTGGGAACAATAATACTTTGATTCAATTATTTAAATATCGTAAAGTTGATGACAACATATTCTCATGGGCCATCCCAATTGATAAATTTGATATATTGTTAATTTTTTTTAGTTGATTGGATGGGTAGGATAGATTATGATTACTTTGGGTATATGATGATTTTTTATACTAGCTATAGACTTAATAAATATAACTTAATTTGTGCAACATTTATCGGGGTCAATAATCATTGACAGAATATTCTACTTGGGGTGATCTTCTTGTCAAAGGAAATATTTGAATCATTTACATGACTTTTTAGAATATTTGTATGAATAATAGATGATATATATCCAATAACAACATTTACTGATCAAGAACATGCAATGGTTAGGTCCATAGAAGTTAATTTACCTCACACTCGTTATAAATTGTGCTAATGGCACATCTCTAAAAAAGTTCCCTCAAAATTTTGATGCTTCAATAGCAACAATAAAGTCATAGTACTCTTCTCTAAGTGTTTGAACAATTATGACTCTGAGGAGTTTGAAAAATATGGAGTGAAATGGTCACATAAGGGAACCTCCATAATCATGTTTGGTTTGATGGTCTTTATAAGATAGGGAATAATTAAGTGGTCAACAACGTTCAATAAATATTATTTAAGCATGGATATTCTATCCACACAGCACAACAAATCTACTAAATGAGTGTCGTGGCATTTTGAAGCCCAAAAGTTTTATAATTGATTATTTATTAGGCTTAGAGAGGGTGATGTTGACTTGGCAACATAATGAACAGGATGAGGATTATAAATACAGTAAGCCCGAAATAATACTTATAATTAAAAGTAGCCCAATATTAAATCAAACTACTTAATTTTACTCAAGAAAACTATATTCATTTTTAAGAACGAATTTTTACAAGTTGTGGGTAAAGTGATTATAGACTTTGTCTCAAGTGTTTATTTAAATTTTTGTATCAAGTGCGCAGAGAATACGGAGCAATCTGACTGTTGGGTTATTTATTTTGATGCAAAAGATGGTAGCATTCAATACACATGTAGGAAGTTTGAGATGATGGATTTATTGTGTTCTCATAGCATGTGAGTTTTGAGATAGATGTATATTGTCAAAATCTCTGAGAAGTACCTAATGTTATGATGGTCAACAAAAGCTCGAAAAGATATATATTCAGAATGCATGTACGTAGGTAAAGAAAAGAATAATTCTAAAACTGGTAGTATATTTATATTCAAAAATCATCTTAGATGTTTTGTATATCAAATTATCACATGAGCTTAGGAGAATGAAGAGGCTGAGTAGTACATGCTGGCTGTAATGAATGATATTACTGAAAATATAAACTTGATCCTTGATGACAATAGAAAAAATCACAAGTTTGTAAGCAACACAGGATGGGATTAAAAAATTAAAAGACTCGCCAAAGTGTAGACCTAAAAGCATATCTAATGGAAGGTTGAAGGGACACTAGGAGAAGAAGAAGAAGCCTAAGAGTATGATTAAACTCACCTACCAATTGCTTTTCATTATACATTATGAGACAATATATATTTTGTTGTGATTAATTTTTTAAACAGAGTTCACAAGCATGCCTGAATGCTTCATGAGGAGTTCAAAACTGAGGCATTCACTAGTTAGACATCATCTGAATACACGATGTTGATGAAGCATATCATTGCTTCAGATTGAAAGTTATAATGATCGAATACTAACTTAAAAATAACTTATTATAGTACTAAAAGAAGTTGTAGTGAATAAATCAAAGTAATTCTTTGCAATAACTAACATTCTTCATGCATTATAATAACATGAGTTGGCCTTAGTTCATTATGTTATTCCACATGTGCTTTCACTAGATGTTGTCACGTATTTGCTGAGTTTTAGATGTGTATTTGTTGAGTGTTTGCTACATGTTCATTGTGTACTTGTTGAGCATTTACTACCTATTAGATGTGTATTTGCTGAGATTTATGTGTGTATACTATTTATTTAATGTGTATCTATTGTGTATATGCTATACATTTGTGTCACATATTATATACATATTTGTTGAGTATTAGGTGAATATTTCCTAAGTATTAGATGTGTATTTGCTAAATATTTATGTGTATATGCTGACTATTTACAACGTGTTTGCTAAGTATTTCTACGTGTATGATGCATATTTATTGCTTATCAATTACGTATTTGTTGTGCATTTACATCACATTTAATGCATGTTTATTGTGTATCTGCTAAGTATTAGATGCATATTTGCTAAATATTTATTGTGCGTTCACTAAGTATTTATTGAGTATTTACTAGTTCATAATTTGGGCAGCCATTAGTTAGCCACCATCTGAATACAAGAGGTTGATAATGAATATCATTGTTTTAGAACAACAATTATAATGATTGAATGTTAACTTAAAAATAATTCATTGTAGTAATAAAAGGAGTGGTAGTGAATAAATTAAAGTAATTATTTATAATAATTGGCAATCTTCATGCATTGTAATAACATGAGTTGGTCTTAATTCGTTATGTTATTGTACATGTGCTTTCACCACATGTTGTCGAGTATTTATTAAGTATTTGCTGCATATTTTCTGAGCGTTTACTATGTGATTAATGCATATTTGATTAGTATTTAATAAATATTAGATGTGTATATGTTGAGTATTTATTGTGTATTTGTTAAGTATTTACTGCGTGTTTGTTGAGTATTAGATATATATTTGCTAAATATTTCTTTGTGTACGTTGTGTATTTACTACGTATCTAGTGTGTATCTGCAGTGTATTTGTGGTGCATATTAGATACATATTTATTGAGTATTTGTTACAAATTTGCTAAGTATTTGCTTCGTGTTTGCTGAATATTATATGTGTATTTGATGAGTATTTTTGCATGTATGCTTCGTACTTACTACATATCTATTATATATCTATTATGCATTTGTGGCATATTTACTGTGTGTTTGATGTATATTTACGACGTATCTATAGTGTATATGCTACATGTTGTGTATTTATTGTGAATTTACTGCATATTCTTTGTGTTTAAAGAAGAACTCAAATTTAAATATTTAAAGTAAAACTCAAACTATAATATTTAAATAAGAACTCAAACTCAAGCTCAAAATTTTACTTCTTACTAAGCAACATACGCAATGATTTTGAAGTTGTATTTCATATAAAGAAAAAAAAATCAAACTCATATTAGAGATTTTTTCAGTCATCCACAGTTAAGAAGTCTTTTCTCCTACCATAAGACAATAAGTTATTCATAAATTTCCTATAGATGTCAACACTTAACTCATCAAGACCTAATTTCTATAAATGGTAAAGAATAATATTATAAACTTTAAGAATGTCATCACTATCTGAGTTACCATCTCCTTTTTTCACATTAGATTTGATGATATCGCATCTGCAAAAAATAAAAACTTACAAGATGTTCATCAACTTCAAAGAACCTCATTCCAAGATATTTCAATCAAGCACTATTTAGAAAATCTCTAGTCTTATAGGGGTTGATCCTCATAACTTCAGCATGCAAATTCCAAAGTATAAGGTCCTCATCGTCTAACTATTCATGAACACGATATATGAAAATCTCAATTTCACTAGCATTTTGCTCTAATGGACTACTGACTGCC